TACAATGAAAAATATATTTAAATATTAATATAAATATATTTAGATATGAACATAAATTTATATTTTGTAATTGTTGGTTCTAATAAATATGATAAAACAAAAAAAAATCCTCACAAATGAGAATTCCAAAATGACGTCATGTAAATTTAAATATTACTATAAAATTATTTTTTTGTGCGTATGTAACATATATGCTAATCCAAATCAATGATTCTAATAAATCTATTAAAATAAAAAAGAATCTTTGATAAATAAGAGTTCCAAAATCGGCTACATATAATTATTTACATATTATTTTCCTATAAAACCACTATCAACATAATTAAAGAAAACCAATAATTTATTAAAACAAACACAAACCGAAGTATTAAATATGCGTAAAATACTGTGTGATAATCAACTGATTTAAATAATAACATTGTTTTCCTTACATAAAGATATCAAAGTATTAAATGAATAATATATTTTCTAATTGAATATCCTAAGGCAAGAGATTCTAAATTCCATATTGATATGGACCTACAAAAAGATGATATTGTTTTGGATTTTCATTCCATACCATAAAAGGAAGGAAACAAAAATCGGAAAAACATATCTAATATAATTAGGCAATGATTAATGAAAGTTTTTAAGTTACTATTTTTAGGCTATAATTAATGAATTTGGCGGGAAAAGATTACTATAAGTGAATTATGTTAATCCTTATTATATATTAATAGATTTATAATTCAATAGCTTATTCAAGGAAACAAATCAAAATTCAGGGATATATTAGTCACTTAGTGGCTCACTATGTAAAATTATAAGGAATTAAAGGGTTATATTAGTAAAAGTGATATTAAAATACCTAAATTAGCTAAATAATATTTATGGAATACCCGAACCTAGATTATTAATTATTAATATATCAATATTATTTATCCAAACCTAATTACGAAGCATGATTCTTTGCCAAATAGGATTCCGAAGCACCAGAAGCAGCCACGTAGGCTCAGCGCATTCTGAAATTATATATAGGGAGGATAGTTAAAAAACAAACTAAATAAAATCTAGTTATCCATAAACAATCATCCACTAAATGTAACGGAGGGTGGAATAGTTGCTTCAAGATTGTACATATCGATAATTATATTAAAACTGGAATTTTGACATTAGCTCAACAGCCTCAACTCCAATTATAGACCTTTGTACCATGTTGGGGATTAGAATCTGCGGAGTGATATATGCCATCGCTCCTTGCCTCCCAATAACATGTATTGTGCGTACAGTATTCTGATCTCCACCCTGTTTTAGACACAATGAACGCGACCGTTTTCTGGGCCCACCATAGCCGGCAGAAGTATAGAGATCTAGGTAACGGGCAATACGTAAACTTGAACTCCTGACCCGCGCTAAGGTCATGATACCCTTTCTCGTCATTTCCCGATGCACAATGCAGCCAGAGCTGGGCCGAGGCCGCTGGCTGAATAGCATTCACCACACGAACATATCTTTCCGCGCCAAAAACGCAAATGGGTTCCTTCCAAGACGAGGCCGGGACTGTTGATGATGCCTTTGCCACAAGAAGCACTATTGAAATGACTAGAAATTTAATCCAGTAATGACACATTTTCTATGCCTGTAATTTGTGGTTTGGGCAATTGGCATATCTCATGATTATATAGTCTCACTAATTCTATAAGATTTCACCCTTTTTGTAATTTGTAATTTAATGATAAATTTGTAATTTAATCTCGTGATCAATTAATGATAATCTTCATCCAATTTTTCTCCCTTTTTTCTCCTTTTCCCTGTCTTCATTCGTTTTGCTTAAGTATCCGATTGGATCATTCTCCTTTTCGATGTCAATAATTTAAGTATGGATTTTAAGATTAGATGGCAATTGTATAAATCAATACATTGTATTTTCTATTTATTTTTTCAAGTGACTTTTGGAAATTATAATCATTCTCGAAAGATTATATGGGAAATTATATTCTACTAATACCGGTACATTAACGAGATATATAGTATAAAACAAATACTTTGAAGATGGAGATTGTATAAATCAAATCATGGTATTTTCTATTTACTTTTTCAAGTGATTTTGGGAAATCCCCCTTCCCTTTATATAAATTTCAAAACATGTTTAGCCTTATTAACGGGCTCGCACACTTCGAAAACTTACTTGACAACATTATATGATTCGTCTTTTGGTTCAAATAAAAATTAATATAAATACATTCAAAAATAAGTAGGTTCGGACATACTATAAATACATTCCCTAATTGTTTAAAACAAAATACTTAATACCATACTTAATTATATTTAAATCAAATAATTCCATTACACTCCTAATATGTGTAATCCAATGCATACGAAAATTATGAAAAGTTGATTCTTACGTGAAATATATGATTGTGATACCATACTCATTTTTTTTTTTTTTTTTTTGGTATTATGTGAAATTTGATCCAATCATTCCATAGATTGTGATATGAGAAAGATGACATAGTTTTAAAATTGGTCCTATAATTTGACTACTTTTCAAGAAATCACCACCATATTGGCCACTTTCAAACTTGGTCCTATAATTTGACATTTTAATCAAACTTTGTCATTTTTTAATCAATTTTGGTCCTTTTTTTTATCACATTTTAATCAATTTTCTGGATAGAAAGGACTAAATTTGATTAAAATGTCAAATTATAGCACCAAACTTGAAAGTGGTCAATATCTGGATGGTTTATTAGAAAGTGGTCAAATTATAGGGCCAATTTTGAAATTATGCCTGAAAAAGATCATATGAGAAAGAAGGATAGTGAAAGAAATATGATTTTGGACAATTGGATCCGACTGATAGGTGTTTATTGTGTTTTTGTGCTTCTTTTTATATGTTTTATGTGTGTAGTTTAGTCGGTTTTAGGTTTGTTATCTTGTCCAACCGATCCATTTTAATTGATTCCGTATATTTTTATTTCTCGTTGGTGTTTGTATTTTGGCGTACTTTCCCGTGTCTTTGGTGCAAATTTCAGTTCCATTTTAGAGGATGAAAGAGAAGAATCGAGCCAAGTTCCGAGAGCACGAGCCATTCCAAGAAACCCCATGCCGTTGTCAAGTCATTACCGTGCACGAGATCAGAGAGTCCAGTCCGCCTAGCGAACGTGTTCGCCACCTAGCGAGTGTGGACAAGACTCATAAGAACAGCGCGCCTAGCGAATGCGTTCGCCGCCTAGCGAGTGTGCACAAGATCCAAAGACCAGTTCGCCTAGCGAACTAGTTCGCTACGTAGCGAGTGCTAAATTATTAAATGTGTGTGTTTTAGAGTGTGTTTGTGGTGTAGCTATAAATAGACTTGTGGCTTTGTATTTTTGGGACATCACCCTCATTTCCCAACCTTTAAGTTGGGAAATTCACTCCATTTTATCTCTCTCTCTTTTTTTTTTTTTATGCTTTGGTTGGAGATCCATGACTCTATTTTTCCGATGAAATTCCTTAAACCTTATTTTCGATCAAGATTCGAGTTTTACGCACTATTTTCGTCTACGCGTGCAATAGGAGAGTAGGTACATTGCTTAGGCCCTTCTACGTCGAGCTTGTTTTGTCGAATTGTGTGTTTATTCTCGATTCTAGTTTTTTTGCATTATTTTCATTGTTTGCTTTTGTGTGTTAGGTTCGATACGTGCTTATCTAGAAAGGTCGCGACTTTGTTTAAAGCGTGATGATTTAGTGTAGAAAGCTTGTGTTAGAATACCTAGGATCACTATGCTCGCATGTTTCTTTTGTCTGTTTTTCTTTTTCTTGAGTCATGGAGATTCCGGTGGATAAAAGCTTCGATTTTTCTCTCTATATTTGCATCTTGCATCATTTTCTTGCATTTGCATAGCGTAATTTCGTGCAATTCCTTCAAGCGAGTGGAATGTTTAGGACCTTATTTTCGGTTATGTGAATTTGACGAATAGGTGGTGAACAATGTTCCAAATAGCCTTCCTTTAAGAATCGACTCAGCCTTCATTATGCTTGATGTGCGTTCAAGATCCAAAATGATTAAGTAGTGAGTTAAGGATGTCGATTGGCGGCATTGTTAATTTTCGTGCTTTATGAACTTGATGATTTAAATGGTGTTCTAGAATTGGATAAAAATTCGTTGGCATTGGAATTCGCATGTGAATTCACGGAATTGTTTGGTTCCTTGTTTTTTCTCGATCGATTGTCTTGAGGCATGCTTTCTTATGTTCGATTATCATTCTAAACGTGTTGTCTATACACTTGTCGTAGGTTTTGATTGAGTTGTGATGATCATTGTAATTGTGATGTATCCTTGTGTGTCACTCTCTTTAAAAAAAAGGAATCAAATGTGTTTGCGAGGAACTACAGATTAGACTCCTCTTATTCTGAGCCACTTCGTAGATTGGGATAATGAGCCCGAGAAACCGGTTTAGGAAACTCGAGAAACTCCCTCGAGGTTAAACCTATATCATCTCGTCCGGAAACCTCGTTTAGAAAAAAAAGGTCACGAAAATGAGTTCGTGAGAGTTAAAAGGATTAGACTCCTCTTGGCTCGGTTATTCTTTTAGATAAATCGGGTTAAAGAGTACGAGAAACCGGCCTAAGAAACTTTGGGACAAACTCCGAGGATAAAACTAGGTAATAATTGTCCTAACGGCTCTCATTTGGAAAAAGTAGCTTATAATAATTAACAAAAAAATTGGGAGTTGGCTTATTGGTCTCGTGCTTATCATTTCATGTTTAGTAGACCATTATAGTTTTTGCACGTGTATCTAGACCAGTGAGTTTGAATCGAGTAATCATGTGTAGAATAACCCTGGACGGATTTTTGTTTTGTATGGATTCACTATGTGGGGACCGTGTTTTCGAATTAGATTTTGATTTTAGGGATAACCAGATGATAATGAGAGTTTCATTTCGCATGCTCGTTAATTTTGGACTTTTCAATTTTTCTTTTCGAACTACTTGTTGTTTTGTGGTGGTTGAGGACAAGCAAAGAGTTAAGTGTGGGGGAGTTGTTTGTTATGTTTTTATGTGTTTTTTTGCAATTTTATTTGCTTGAGTCGAGTCTTTTTAGGGACGGTTTGTGTTTTCTGGTCCATTTTTGTTCATTAGTAGCTTTTCGTTTTTAAGTCGTTTTCGTATATTGTTCTATCTTCTTTGTGCATTTTGGTATTTTTGTAGGCCCAAGAGGAAGGAAGTTCCAAGTCAATCGAAGAAGTGTGCATCGAGTTAGAGCCTTAAAGGTCGAGCCATAGTCATCGGGACAAAATTCCGAGCCCAACACTCAACCTTCAAAACTCGCGCCCTCGAGGTTAAGACGTCGGCTTCCTTACTGTGACGGCAGACCTTCTTCTTCGCAGAAAAGCTTCTTCCGGAACCCTGGCTAGCTTGAGATGAAGACAATATCATCAAACAAATTACAGAAAGGTGAAGGGTTGTAAAACAAGGAATACAATTTTGGGAATCAGGATTCAAATTAGGGATTCAAATTTTGGGAATTTTGGGATGGAAAATTTTGGAATTGAGGGATTAATGGTAGGTTGAAGTTGTATATATAATTGAGGTACCCGATTTCAATTTTGTTTTTTGGTCACGCAACAAGTTGACAATTTCCACGTATTTAATGCACAAAGCTGAAAATTACACGTCGATGTAAGCTGCCGGACACGGTGGCGGTTTTTGAAGGGCCGGCCGGTTTAAGGTTCGACTTGAAATAAGTAAATTGAGGTAGAAATTATATAGCAATTACTCAAAGGTTGGGATAAAATTGTCAAACACAAAAAAGTTGAGGTTTATTTAACAATTAACTCTAATAAAATATCTGTCTCATAGTAGTATTTGAAATAGGGAGCTTTATTTATTTAAAAACAAAAAAAAAAATTAAGTGGACAAAAATAAAATTAAAAAAAAAAAGAGTGGACCAAAACAAAACAGCCGTATTCTCAGAATACGTTTTCTTAAAAAAAAATTAATCAAGAAGACGTATTCCCATAATACGTTTTAAAAAAAAAAGGTAAAATGTATTTTTAAAAAAAAAACGTTTAAAAAAAAAATAAGCCCAAATAATAATTAAAATGTATTTTTATAAAACGTATGTTGAAAATACGTTTTATAGCAAAACGTAATTTGAAAATACGTTTCACGAGAAAAATAATTTTTTTTAATAAAAATAATATTTCGTTAAACCGTATTCTGAGAATACGTTTTACAATTAAATCGTCGGTAAACGTATTCTCAGAATACATTTTTTACGTTTAATATTATAAAAAAAATCTCTTCCTCTCCATTTCATTCGCACGAACAGAAACAAAAAAAAAAAAAGAAGGAGAACTCTGCGTGAAAAAAAAACCTCGATCCAATCTTCATCCCGATGTGAACCGACAACACCGACACGAGTCTCATTTCCGGTTAATTCATTCGCACTAGGTATATTGTCTTATCTTTTCTTTTTACATTATTTGAAATTTTTTGGAGATTGAGAATTAGTATAATATGTTTGAATGTGGTTGTATTTGAGGATTGAAAATTGCTAATTGATTATCGATTATGTGTGTATGGTGAATTGAGGATTTTTGTGTGTAAATTGTCAATTGTGTATTGTTTGGTTGTTGTTGGGGT